TTTATTAAGAATAAGTTTGAAATGTAACTCCAGCTGCACAGGAAAGATTCATTTTAAGAAAAAAGAAGACTAGTTCCTGATATGGTATGTTCCTCCTGCTAGATTTCTGTTGATTGCTCCTGGCTTCATAGGCCTGCTCCAAAAAAAAATGTGTGAGCCCAAGTCTACTATGGCATGCATCAGTTATAAGGGAGTAAGTTTAACAAGGAGTAAGTTTTAAGAAGGAAAAAGCCTTCTTTTTCTTTCCCTTACTCTCGTACCAGGTAGCTTGTGAAGATAGCACTTCAAAACTACTTACATGGACAGGGGTCTGTACCAGATTGAGCCATTTATTGTCATGTGGACCAACTGCTAAACAATGTAGCAACAACAGCTGCAGAGCATGAGCCAATGGATTTATCAGATTTTCCAGTGTTTTCCCCCACTGGACAATTGTAACCAGGTGTGATCTCTTGGATTACTTAAAGCCCTGAGGATGTTGAACTTACTATAGGAGACAAAGACCAAATGAGTAAAGGAAGAAAATTACATAGTAAACCAATGGCAGCCTAGGATCAAAATATTCTAGACATTAAAAAACCATTCCACAGTGTAATGAAGGACATATTTGATAACTAATAGATTTAAAAAGGAAAGAAATATGGATGTGTATAAAGAGAAAAATAAATAATGCATAGATTAATCTAATATATAATTAAATATATTAAATATATGTTTATACCTATAATAATCTTACTTCATGCTGCAAATGATGATTGTCTGTAGCAAATATTTAGTTACATAGTTAAATTTTTCAACAATAACTATTGACTCTATTGGAAGGAATACATACTAATTATTTTTTAATTTTAAAGAGAATTCTCTCAGCCACACACTATGGAATATACTTATATTCCCAGCCATTCAGGAGGCTAAGACAGGAGAATTGCAAATTCCATGCCAGCCTCAGTAATCCTCAGCAACCTAGCAAGAACCTTTCTCAAAAAGTAAAAAAGACTGGAGATATAGCTCAGTAGTAAAGCCCCTCTGAGTTCAATCCCCAGTACCAAAAAATAAATAAAAAAACAAAAAAAATAATTTAAAAAGAATCTCTCATCCCAGAAAAAAAAATTCAAAAAGGAAGAATTTTCTTTCCAAGGATGAGAAACCTTTATAGGTATGTATATGTGAGTGGGTTAGTTAACTCAGCTCTGGGTCATTGATCTTTTGCAGGGGAAGTGATGATTTTTAATGGAAGTTCATGAATTTCTATTATTTTGTAAAAATTACCAATTATGATATAGTTTATCTAGTAATTAACAAAATAAGTTTATATTTTCTTTATTACCTAAACCTTTCTTGTTCCTGTCACCTTATATGATAATTCAATGTGTCAATTTTGGAGGTTTTTTTTTTTAAAGAGAGAGAGAGAGAGAATATTTTTTAATATTTATTTTTCAGTTTTCGGTGGACACAACATCTTTATTTTATGTGGTGCTAAGGATTGAACCCAGCGCCCCATGCATGCCAGGTGAGCACGTTACCACTTGAGCCACATCCCCAGCCCCAAGTTTGGAGGTTTTTTTAATATTCATTTTTTAGTTGTAGATTGACATAATAACTTTATTTATTTATTTTTATGTGGTGCTGAGGATTGAACCCAGGGCCCCACATGTGTTAGGCAAGCACTCTACTGCTGACAACCCCAGCCCCAAGTTTGGAGTTTTGTTGATACATGAAGCTACCAGATAGTTACCCACCCTCTGATCACAGTGGGAAGAATAAAAAAGTAAAAAATAGAATGTAATTGTCTTCTCATGTTGATGCAGGCATCAAAAAGATCAGGAAAAAAAAAGGGATTCTGTTTAGTAGATATGATTTGGAGCTATACAAAAATTAAAATAATATTTCCCTTCTCATAATAAAAGTTACACTATTTTCTGCAAGTTGCAAGAAATAAATTTCTCTGGTAACCCTATATAAATCTCATTTCAAAGAGCTAAAGTTCTTTTGTACATATTTATTCCTCAAATAAATGTCTAAAGTGTTGGATTTGCTTTGTATATGGAGTATAGAGGGTAGGGGGGAGTAGTGGTTACTTCATTTGGTTCTGTAGAGCATGGAGCATAAGAAGAGAGCAGTGGAGGGCATGGGAGAAAGCCTCATCTATCTGCCTCCTCTCTTTTTCTTCATAGATGCAAATATACCACCTGCCTATGAGCTCTAAATATTAGAGATGAAGGTTGAAAGAATATATAAAATTATCTGTGAAATATCTACTTGATAGCCTAGGACTCATATATAAGGTATTAAATACTGCTACTGGAACTACCCAATTCATCTATTAGAACCAAATTTAAAGATCAGTCAGGATTCATCTGGGCCTCAGTTTCCTTATTGGTAAAATGAACATAATTTAGTCAATGTATGAATAAAATAGGATGACCCATACAAAATAGTGCCTAGCACATAATGCTCACCTCATAGTAGCTATTATTGTTGTCTTTGTCATTGCTGTTGTTATGTGGTTCCTGGGCATTTTGTTAGATATGATTTTTAAAAAAGGTAAGGTCATGGAAAAGAAAGGAAAAATTAGATAATACTTTGGGAAGTAACCAAATGAGGATAAATTTCACATTCTATCTGAAAAGTTTACTTGAAATTAACATTTTCAAAGAGGAAAGATGACATATCATCTATCCTGGTTTATTTCTAAAGTCAGGACATATTCTTGTACCATCCTCTCGATTGACATCTCTTCTGAGCCCCAGGAAAAAACACTCCTAACTATTTAGGACTCCAGACTAGGCTCCTGGCTGAGGCAGGAGGGTTGAAAGTTCAAAGCCAGCCTCAGCAACTTAACAAGGCTCTAAATAACTCAGCGAGACCCTATCTCTAATAAAGTATAAAGAAGTGGGGTGCCGGGGATGTAGTTCAGTGGCTAAATGCCCCTGGGTTCGATCCCTAGTACAAAAAAAAAAAAAAAGTAGGCTCCTATGGAGGTAGAGGCCAGGCTCAAAATCCCAAGAGCTAGAGAAGCAATTTTATTCATTAAGGGGACTTCCAGGGTGAGGGGTGGGGTGGGCAGGGTCATATCAATAGTATAATATGATTATGGTAGAGGAAACAGCATGAGCTGAATGTTGACAGTTAAATTGGTGTTCATCAATTGGATGAAAGGCTGTGGAGGGGGGAATGATTGGAGGGGTATTCAGGGACCCACAGTTGTGTGAACAAAAGCAGAGCATCATGAAAGAGAGTCAGACTTTAAATTTTTTTAAAATATATATTGTGGCACAAAGCCCTTGGTTCAATTCCCAGCACCACCAATCTACATGTTTTGTGTTTCTTGACCTGGGATGCAAGGGAGGGATGACAAAGAAAAATCAACCCCAGAAAAACGATAAGATATTCTAAGGTCATTCCAACCATGATCAGAAATGTGGGTTTTGCTTTCATAGTCATTCAGAAATTATGGCTGAATACTCAGGAGAGGGAAACTAGAAGACTATGACAAAGGACCAGGTGAGTAATGATAAAGGCTGAAACTGAGAAGTATTAGTGAGGATTGAATAGAAGGTACCAATAGAAGAGAAGGTAAGAATCTATACTTGGAAGTAGTGAATATAAAATAATAATAAACACACATGATCTTCCCATAAAGGATTTTATTCATATGATATGTATTACAAAATCATTTAAAATGTGAGGCTATAGTTGATTACACATTTAGCTATATGCTTTATTGAAAATAACATGATTACATGAAATTGGGGCTTTCCCAAAAAATAGTATGAGAGGATTCTTCTGTCTGTAGCCCTGAAACTTGACAGAGATGTTAAAACTCCCAAACTTTAATTCTACCTCACAGGTAAGCATTGATCTAGGAAGGTCTGAGGTAACCTTGTATAATATGGGTGCATAATAAAATCTTGAACTTGTAAAATTAGAATTTATATTCTCATCTAAGTAAAGTTGAGGTATTCCTCTAACTTAGGAGTTCTAATAGTACTGAGTAGGAGAGCTGTGAACCAGTGATTAGTTTAAAATAGTCCACAGAATCCCATGGATTCTGGAGCAAACAGTAAACATAGATATAGTTTAAAATTACCCACCAGGATCTGTATTCTGAAAGCCACATTGCACAGCCCTACCTGTCAGTTCCCTTGCCTCACCAAACTTGTCATTTGCTGGGTCTCTTTTCCCGTTTCCAGGGGGAGGAGGTAATCAAATATTCATTCTGCTATAACCTTTTTTTATGCCAGTTTAGAGTTTATTACAAGTCAAAGAATCCACCCAGGTATTTTGGGAAGCAACCCAGAACCAAAACATCAATAATAAAAATCAAGTCAACATTCTATATATCAAAGCACCACATTTAAAAGGTCAGAGATGTAAAAAGTGACCTTTACATTTTATAACAATACACAGTGTTTATAGTTTTCAAAAAAATTATCAGAAAAAAATATAAGCCTTTAAACAATGGTTAAAATGCATAGAAAGTTTTTAAAAAGTACTTATTCAGAATTTAGTGAACACTCAAATATGTGTCAATTGCAATTGTTTTATTATTCATTTTATTTTCTATAACTGTAAAAATAAGCCAAAATGCAGAAGTGTGATTTAATCTATATTCCTAGCCTTGCTTGATATGTAGCTACGTCTTAAGTGTAAAGCTATGCTCACGTGAAATGTAAAAGGAATAGAACTTGTAATTTTTTAAAAGTAGAAAGTATGTGTCTAGTGCCTGAATAATCAAGTACTAATCCATTATATTATTATATTGGAATAGTATACTCAATTTACTGCTTATCTCTGTTACAATGTTGCCTGGTAAATAATGCAACAATGTAAACCTGTTCCTGGTTCAAGAAGAAAGAACTTGATAAAAATGGACATAAAATCTTATTAAGAAATGCCAGCATTTTTCAATGAGAAATATGAACCCCAAATCATTAATCACAATTTAGGATTAATTATAATTTGAGATAAATCCCCAATTACTTCTGGGTTATGGATCTGTCTCACTAATGACAGTCTTGAACCAATATACCAGAAAAACAATGGACAATTCCTGAAAGTCACTGAAGGATAAAATTTAGTTACACTTTGTTTCCTGTTTTAGAAGAATGAGTAAAGATTAGATAAGGGGGAGGGACTTCTATTGCTAAAGCCATTTAAAGATAAATCTGATGGGCCTCAGGACAATTAGCCATATTGGTTGCATGCATTCCACTCTCATTTTTAAGACACAAAGGTGTCCATTTCTCTAAGAGAACTGCTTTTTCGGCAAGACACACTCTCTCTCTTGCCTTGGAGCCAAGTAATTGGAACCCTAAACACACTGCGGAGCTTCTGTTGGAATCGGTTTCCAACAAAACAATACAAAAAGGGATTAACGCAGCTGTTGGTGAATCCCAGGAGGATGGCAAAAGGAAGTGCCAGGTCAATGACTGCTATAACTTCACAGCTATTAATGACACCCATCCAGGCCAGAGCATCCAGGAAGGTCAGAACATGGAAGGGAAGCCAGCAAATGATGAACGCCAGGACAACAGCAGCTGCCATCTTCAGGACTTGGTCACGGGTTATTCTGTTCTTCCCATAGCTGTTGGTCTTCAGTAAGTGTTTCCTGATTCCAAAGTAACATGTTGCTATAAATATTAAAGGGATAATAAAACCAAGGATATTTTTCATTAAGGCGATCCCAGCTGACCACTGGGCATAATTCTCAGGTGGGAAAGCCATAACACAAGCATTCACCCCTAGGTACTCAATGGTTCTGACATCTCGGAAATAAAATGTTGGCAATGAGGACAGACAGGCCATACACCAAACCAGGGGAACTATGTAAGATGCCTGCCAGGGATTTCTTCTTTGAGACAGAAAGGGGTAGATAACTGATTGGTACCTATCAACACTCATACAGGTAATAAAAAAAATGCTTGCAAACATATTCAGAGTCAGAAAAGAACCAAAAACCTTGCACATCACAGGTCCAAAAAGCCAGTCATATCTGTAAGAATAATAGCTTGCCCAGAGAGGAAGAGTAGCCAAAAGAAGTAAGTCAGCCACAGCCAGGTTGAAGATGTAAATGCTAGAAACCTTTTTAGGACCCTTTTGACAACAGAACAGTGTAACCACAACAGTATTAACAAAAAATCCAATCACAAAAATAATGTAATACAGAATGGGAATTGCATCTAAATGCTTATCTGATGGTTTATGTGAGCAGTTAAAGGTGGACTCATTGTTGCCAGATACGTTGGCAAGTTCCAGACTGCTGGTAAGGTTTTTGCTGATGGTGGCAAGACTGAAGTTGTCCTTCATATTGAAATGTCAGCAACTTCTAATTCGTACGCTTTCTGTGGGGGAGAAAAAGGAAGCTGTTAGAACACATACAAAGCTTAAGGTATATTTGAGTTCATTAGCATTTGGGGTTTGATTTTTTAAAAAAAGCAAAAACAAGTAAGTGATTCTAGAAAACACTATGAAATAGGATCATGCCTGTGAAATAAGAATGTATTTTACCTCTTGAGGAAGAAAACAATTTTCTCAGTAGTAGCAAGTAAAACATTTCAGCTTCAGGAACTAAAAATTCTGAAAAAAACTACCTTTTGCACCTCTTTTCTATCATGTTTTTAGAGTTTTAAAGAAAAAGTATTTCAAAAGTTTAGTTGAGATAGAAAATGTATGTACCAAACAGGAAGAAACCCAAAATAAGAAAAATTAATACTTTAAAACCCTTGATCATTTATCCCAGTCTGTATACTTTCTAGAAATCACACTGCTATTTCATAGAGAAATGCTTTATTCAAGTAATTACATACAAAGCATTATAGCTGTGGAAAGTAAAAGTAGCCATAAGCTATGGAAAAAAATAAGTAAGTGTACAAATGACAGAAACAATATGCAAAAGGAACATTAGAATAGGGGGACTGTAGTGAGCTTTTACTAATTAAAAATAATCTCTTTAATTCTACTTTTCCATTATTTTCACAATTATAATTATGAAGAAGTTATGACATATATGCATATTTCTAAAAGCCTTCTGATTTTAATAGAGAAAATTAGATATAGCTATAGATATTAAAGTTTTGTCTGTTTAATAGAAAAAAAAATCAATTTAATTAGGAAGAGAAAAAGAAAACAAAAGAGACAAACTTGTTTCAGGGTCAAACAGAAATAGTTTTGATTGCTTAATGAAATAAGAAATGAAAATCAATGATTAATCATGATATAGTCTTATCATTTTTCTTTTGCTATCTTTTCAGTTGAATATAACTAAATAGTCACTGTTCTCAAATGTTATAATCAGTGTTCAGGTTTTTGAGACATTATTGTTTTGGTTTTTTTACTAGCAACATTATTTTGAAACAAACAAGAATTAGCTAAAGATAAACACTAAGGAAAAGACTATTACTTTACATAGTTTTAAAGTAAATACAAATAAACTACTCAGTTAAAAATACAATCACCAAAGTACCTCCTAATAAATAATAAACTCTCATTTTTTATCTAAAGCTCATTTCTTTATATGACTTTACAAATTAACATGAAAGAATGAAAAAATAAATCCCACTGACAACTTACTGGTTGCTTGAGTTTAAAGCAGTTATCATAAATCAGCTTTTCTGGTTCCTAAATGCACTCCTGTAAGAGAAACAGCAGTTAAATAATTTAGGAGTTTTGCAAAATACAGTGTTAAAACACAGGGAAAGGGAAAGTTCATCCATAAAAATATTTTCATTTAATGTATGTTCTACTTTCCAAGTAAAGTATATATAAATTGTTCAAACTTACCTTAAAAATTCAGGCTGAAGAATGCTTTGAATTCTGAGCTTATTCGGTCTCTTAGACTCTGGGATGTAATAGCACCAGATCTCTGGTTTCCTTCTTATATGTTCGGTCTGTCCACTGGGGAGCCTTCAACCTACATAATTCTAGGGCTGACTTATGAACACTTGCCAGCTTTCCAGAGGGTTTTTTTTTTTTTTTTGGCTGCAAAACATTAATCTGAAATTTTCACTGTCTCCAATCATAACAGCTCATTCAAATAAATCTCAAACAAAAAAAAATGAAGTTTCCACAAATGTGTTAGAGAATTTTGAAGTCAGTGGCTTGCTTTTAAAGAAGAATATAATTACTTGCAGAATTTTCTCTGATTATGATATTCTCAAGTGAGTTAAGGAGTAGAGACCAGAGAATTTATGCTCGTAGCAGAGTCTTTGTTCACAAATATCCTTCACAAACTTAAGTACTTTTAAAAATTTATACATTTATTAAAGAATGGTAGCAACATCACTTGAAGTCTAACAACTTCTAAAAATTTCTCCCTTGCTTTAAACATTTTCTGGCTGGCTCATTGCTGGAGGATTGGAGATAAGACGGATATAATTTTTATGTGATGGAAAAGAGGTATTAACCTTTAGTACCTCCTTTCATTGGACTCTGTCATATTTGTGGCTCAAATACCAAGGACAGAAGGTAAAGAATGTATAGGCAGCTATTCCAGCCTGGATCACTATTGTTCTTGTTGCTGTTTTTAGTCCTTGTGGTGGTGGGGTGATCAACTTTATATAACCAGTCTTGTAGAAGCAAGAATGATAAAATGAAGAAAGACAAGAAGAGGTGATGCTAATGATAATACTAGATGATAATAAATGCTATGTGACAAACACTGCATTTTATGTTCAATAGTTTAATATAGAGGCATTATAGCACACTGGTAAGTACATGGCCTCCAGGATCCAACTACCTGGCTTCACAGGCTCAACTCTACCACTTCCTAACTCTATTACCATGACCAAGTTACTTTCCTTCGTCATGTCTCAGTTTTTCTCATCTGAGAAATGGGGATAATATTAATTACCTACATCAGAGAGTTACAAAGATTAAATGAGTTAAAGTGTTTATAGTGTTTAGAATTATACCTAGCACATGATAGACACTATTATAAGCTTTCTACTACCATAGCTTTACAAATCAAGAAACTAAGATGCACAGAGTTTAAATGAATTTTCTCAGGTCACATAGCTATTAAATGAGGATATTTGAATTTCAAATGAAGCTAACTAATGTCAGAGTTCCTGCTTTTAACTTCTGTACTACAGAAGGAAGCACTAGCTGGTCCTTTAATCTTACCTTTGGTCTTGTCAGAAGAAAACATGCAGCATTTTCAGAAAATCACTACTGACCATTCTTAAGCTATCACAACAGCACTAAAGAAGGGAAAAGGAGGTTGCATTTTTCTTAATGTTTTTAGGAAAATGGCAACCCCACAAAGGAGAAATGTGTAAGCAGATAGCTTTCTATAGTTAGTACAGATAACCAGAGAACCCAAGACAGTTAAACAGACAAAAGGATTCCAATTATTACTACAGATCATTTTTTCAGATGAGCAATAAGAGTGCACTTATTCAGGTTGCAGGCTGCAGAAAGAGAGGAGGGCATCTTTTCCATTAGTAGGTAAGCACCTAAGCAAGTTGTTCAGCGAAAGAACAAGGAAGGAGAAAAGACTATAGGTGACAGAGGACAAAATTACAAATGACAGAGACAAAGCACATGGCTATTGACATTTGTTTCTCCATTGATATTAAAGTCAATCCTACAGTAAACAAGCAGTAAGAAAAGGTTATCATTGTCTGAAAAATACAGTAAGATTCAAAGGCTTGCACAACACCATTATAGCATTTTTTTCAGTACACTGAATTTGCACAAGGACAGAATGCATCTAATATACATGTGCACCATTCTATTAGATCTCAAAATATTTGTTTCTTATGCTCTGGACAAATTCAGGTTGAAACTGTGTCCAAATGATGAAAAACTGATGTTTGGGAAACAAAAGAGCGGGCACATATGTTTATTGGCAGGAGAGTTCAAATGGGAACTGGTTTCACTCTTTGTTTAAGCCTGGTTTCTCCCTCCATTTCAAATGTTTGTTTTTGCGACATACAAGGGAATTTTCCAGGCCAGAGTCTCCTGAGTGGTCACAATGGGTCAGATTCCCACCCTGCTCTATTTCTAGCCCCCTTTCATGTCCCTTGCAAAGAAACAGTCAGGAGGTGAGCTATAAACTTTGAGAACAAACTGCAGGCTCGCCTCCAGGAGACCTAGCCTTGAACACTCCCCAGGAGCAGGGGACCTTGTCTAGAGCTTTTGTCCTTCATTACAGTAACATCTGACGTAAATAAAGTTTAAAGAGGCACACATTTCCCAGAAGATTAAAAAGACATTTACTTTGTTTCTTCATAATTTTTGGAGTAAAAATTTTCATAAGCCGAAGAAAAATTTTTGTAACTGCAGGGAATTAAGAAAAGAAGACAAAAAAGAATAGCAATAATATTCACACCACTCAAAGCAAGAAATACAGCATATTATTGATTCAGCAAAGAACACCCAGTTAAGCCAACAATGTAAATACACTTGAGATTCAAATAAATGTCAGTCATGGGAAGCAATACAACACACACATACACACACACACACAATCATTCTCCTGGGGACAGTGGTAATTTTTTGTTGTTGTTGTTGGAAGACTGACTTAAAAGTTTTGGGTCATTTGAATAAATTATGCAGCTCTTCAGAACAAGTGCAGCTGGGCTAACAGAATTAAACAATGGTAAATCACATTAAATTATTTTTTTCTAATGAATACCTATTGTTTCTTGTGCAATTCTCATCTGCTGAAAGGATACAAGATTCATAAGAAAAATTTATATCCTTCCCACACACAGATGAGGCTTCAAAGGAACAAGGAAAGATAAATGCAAAATTCTGCCCAAACATACTCTGGTTATAGGGAGTAAGGTTTAGAGATACAGATCATGGAATGATTGAATATATATAGTCTTTACTTTTTAGTCTGTTTTTTAGAGTTATTTTAATTTTCCTCACCCCAGGCACCTCTCTGAGTTCCTATCCAGGCTGATATCATTTTCACTTCTCACAAATTCAACACACACATCATTCACACATATACCCACATACATACATACTTCACACCAATCGTCTTTTGATTTACTTATCCATAGGTAAGCCTTACTTTAATTGGAAAAAAAAGGTGGTTAAGAAATTTTGCATTATCAGTAAGTCTTTGCAGATTGCATTTGTGCCTCTCTGGTTTCTAATACAATAAGAACGGGAATGTCAGGATGAAAGCAAAGGAAAAATGTAAGGTCTGCTATTTAGAACTAGAGATCAGAATGACCATTTTATAGGGGAAAAGACTAAAAACCCATTGAAAGGCCAATGTAAGTGATTATTTTCAACAAATTGTCCATCTAGGCATCACATAAAGAGTAACTGAGAGAGCTATTAAATCCAGTAGTCAGATAAATGAAACGTCTGAGTCAGTACATTCCTGAGACCAGTTGCTTCCAGCTGAATCTAGTTCTAAGAAAAGAAGAGGAAGGAAGAATTCCAATTCTTCTTTTCCCCAAAGACACCTACAATTCTGAGCATCCTGTTCAGATGAGGATTTCACAGAAGGCACCCTAGTTGTATCAAATACATCTCAAATGCTATATAACTCCACTGGTGGAAAGATTTTTTTTAATTAAAAACTTTCTATATTATTTGCTTACATTCAAAATATTGATTAACTGATTCAAATTTCCCCTCACTGATATGACTAAATTGATTGGCTTAACTAAATTATCCAAAATGGCCAATTGATTAAATTGGCCTAGTAAACAAACCACTTATTTTGGCAATATTTAATCACCACTGTTATTCTGGCAATATTCAAACACCATTGCTAGGTGGTGGGGATGTTTTGGGAAGATTTGTCAGGTTGGATCTCTCAAAGCGTACTGGGTCAACAAACAATTATGTCCAGCATTTGATCCTTAGGCTTGAGGCACAGAAACAACTTTCTCTTGGCTTATACCAACCAAGTTCAACACAAAACTGATATGCTACCGTATTGGCTAATTTATTATTTTATGATAGAGATATATCACTTCTCAAAGACCACAAACCTTGCACTCTTTATCTGATGTGCATTCTCTATCTCCAATATTAAGAAACAGGGGAAATATGGCTTGGTGACTATGTAATCAGAACAGGAAGGCTGGTAACTGGGAGTATATTTCACTTCAGCTCTGGGAAATTTCATATCAGATGTTGTAATTCTAGAAGCCAGATTAATAAGCATCTAAGCTGGGGCTGGGGTTTTGGATCAGCGGTAGAGTACTCGCCTAGTACATGCAAGGTCCTGAGTTCAATCCTTAGCACCATATAAAAATAAATAAACTAAAGGTATTGTGTCCAATGACAATTAAAAAATAAGCACCTAAGCCATTCTCTTCACCAATTTTGCCTCCCTGAACCCTGTTTTTGGGTGGGGATATCTGTCCCAATCTATTCATACATTCTTTTAGGTATTACTATTACTGATGAAGCCTGTAGTCAAGTCCCTGTTCTAGGCAGGCAAGAAGTCATTCAGACTCTGCTTTGATTAATTAGACAAATTCTCAGAGTTAGAGATCAGGAGATCAGGAAACTGGCAAAATAAACCTCTCTAAAACTGGTCATCAATTCAGAGGAAATATTCAGAGCAAATGGTTGCTTGGCTTTGTTTAAGGTCATTTATCCGACCCACCCACCTCCCCTTTAAGCTTTTTTTTTTTTTCTAAGAGAGAGAGAGAGAGAGAGAGAGAGAATTTTTTAATATTTATTTTTCAGTTTTTGGTGGACACAACATCTTTATCTTATTTGTATGTGGTGCTGAGGATCGAACCCAGCGCCCCGCGCATGCCAGGCAAGCACGCTACCGCTTGAGCCACATCCCCAGCCCCAAAGCTCTTAAAAGGATACAAAAGCAATAAAGAATTGTAAAGCTTTTACTTTTTGAGGTACAAAATGACTTAGAATTAGAAGATAAAGCAAGGACTGGGGTTGTTGCTCAGT